CCATATTTTTGTTTTATCTGCCATCATGTGCACAGACATATATTTCTACCTCTCCTTCGTCTCTTAGTTAAGACATGAAAATGGTCTAAGCTTTAAGTATTACACTCTCCATCTAGTGAAATCCTTCAAAGTGAGATCACAGGCCACCTCCTCTACGAAGCCTGCCCTGCTCATTCTGCCTGGAGGTGACCTGAGCTTTCCTGGAGCCCCCACAACTGTGTGTGGACCCCTGATGGGGCACAAGTCAGTCCGCGGGTATCAGAGCTAGGAGCACCTGCCTCTCCCCCATGCTCCCCAAGACAGCCAGCTCAGGGGACAGGCCGGGCCTCACCCACCCTGGATCTTCTCGGGGCCCCAAGGAGGCTTCTGCACACAAGAGACTGCTGAGAGAACCAAGCAAGCCAGCAATGAGAACAGCATTTAGGCCACTTAAGGTGACACAGAATCTTAGATAAGTGACACATTTTAAAAGGCAGAATAAAACTTAAAATTAGGCTTATGGATAATTTTAAAATGTGAAAATCATCAAGAAATAATACTAGATTAAAAAAAGCAGATTCCAAATATTGAACTAGGATCATAACTCAAACACCTTCAGGGCCTGATAGGAAATATGAACGTCTGATAGGCAAGCACATAATACAATGGGGGACCTATGGCTGGAGAGCCCATGCTCCAACCCCTAAAGCATTACATTCACTTTTTTTTTTCCTTAAAGATTGGCACTTGAGCTAACATCTGTTGCCAATCTTTTTTCTTCGTCATCTTCTCCCCAAAGCCCCCCAGTACATAGTTGTATATTCTAGTTACAGATCCTTCTAGTTCTGCTATGTGGGACGCCACCTCAGCACGGCCTGATGAGCGGTGCTAGGTCTGCGCCCAGGATCCAAACTGACAAAACCCTGGGCCACCGAAGTGGAGCATGTGAACTTAACCACTTGGCCACGGGGCTGGCCCCTACATTCACATTTTTTAAAAACTCTGGATTGGCAAAATAAAACATGGCTGCCAGTTTGAGACCCCTGGGTATATACAGTAGGATATTAACCAGGTTACAAAAAGATCATTTATATAAAAATATACACATATGGTCCAGAAAAGGCAAATACAGTGTCATAAGAGGAAATCTCTGATTCATATCCCAATAGTTAGTTATAACAACTTGATTTTCTGTAAATAACCTGCTTTCTTTCCTTCACTTTAGTTTTCCCATCTGTAAAATGAGGGTAATAAGAGCTGCTTCATTTAGGAAAAAACACATATCAGAGGACCTGGCATGGTGCCCAGATGCACTCAATAAAAGGTACCTACTATTATTATAATAGTATTACTATACTATTATTTACATACAGGTAGTAGGGCCAGAGTGTTCCTAACTGAGATTCAGCTCAGTTGACATCTTCTTCAGGAAGCCTGTTTTATCTCCCAGGCAGGATGAGAAGCCACTTCTGGGTTTCCACAGTCCCTGGGCTTCCCTGACACTGATGACTCAGTGGTGTCACTTGCCTGTCTCTTCATCAGACCATGAGCTCCTTGTGTGTTTCACCTATCTGTTTCTTCCCATCTAGCCCAGAGCCTGGCACACATGTGTCATTCATAAATATGTACTGAATTATTTAATTCTCTTCATTTTCCTTTCCTTTGCTTTCTAAATCTTCTATAAGGAGACACATACAAATTTTCTATAATGAGCACACACTTCACTAGAGTGGCAAGTGAAGGTGGAGGAAGCTGAGCTGGGTGGCAGGGGTGCTGGAAAGAGAGAAGGGGGGTAAGATAAGATGAGAGTGGCAGTAACCCATGTCTAGACAACAAGCCGGGAGCTGAGGTCTCAGGCTGGAGCCTCAGCACTCTGCAAGCCTGAGTCACTATGTTATAGACGCAGGGCCTGAACTCACAGAGGAGTAGCTGTTGCTTACTTATTGGCAGAGGGGGACAGAACCCAGGTCTAAAGCAGAGTTCTTCCCATGAAAGGGCTGCACAATTTTGAAGAATTTTGTAGTTTTTTTGCAGCTTAGAGGAAAAAAGCAGAGCAGAAAGAATGGGTGATGAAGTAGATGCTAAGCAACTGAGAAAAAGACAATGCTGTTGACATCCAGGGAGAGCTGAGGGGCAGTTCACATGGGCAGAATCTGATGGGACAGCAGAGCAAGCAGGTGGAGATGCTCAGCAGACAGCTGGACATTCTGAATGGAGGAAGTCCAGACCAGATGAAAAGATCAGGTGCAGAGAGGTGACAACTGAGCAACAGTCTTCCAGTTGACAGGCTACAGAACCTGGGCTGGCTCTAAGTGGTCTTCCAGCCTCTAAAGGCAGCCCCTTGCACTGTGCGATAGTTCTGTTAGGGAGTTCTTCTCTGCAGCTGCCACCCACTAAGCGTGGCTCTGTCCTAGCTTTGCTGCTGAATAAATCTCCTCCCTTCTCACTCACAGCCATTCCTGTGCCTACATGCAGCCTCTTCTCTCCGGGCCAGGTGCCCGGACTGCCTTTGGCTTTTTCTCATAGCACAGTTCCTCTTGCCTCCTTACTGCCCTGGTCTGCATAGATTCTAAGAGCTCCCTGTCTATTCAGAAGGTAGTGTCTGCAACGGCCCTCGGTGGTCCAGAAGGGTCTGACTGGCACAGAGGAATGCAACCACCATTTATTCACCGAGGACATTAGCCTTGTGCTAATGTAGTCAATATCAGTGTGGCCATTTCTTGGGCAGCCAAATTTTGTTAAAGGTTACTCAGCAGCCTTAACCCACCACCAGTGCTGGCACTAAGAGGACTGTTCTCTTGCTTTACATGATTAGACCAGTGCCTGCCCTACGTCATATCACCTGATAAACCATGGGTACTCTCAACCAAGTCCAGCGCTTGCTCACAGAGACGGGACTGAAAGAGATGATGATGGGAGTGCAGTCCCTGAGGGTATCTGAAACATGTCTGGGGATTTCTTTAAGGCCCTCGGGGAAGCTGACTCGACTTCCAGGGCTGCTCCTAGGGGTGGAAAATCTGAACAAAGGGAGGGAACCTCTTGCTCTCTTGGAATTTTTGCTCCTCCTGGTCCCAAGTTCCCCTCAGGATGTGCTGTGAAAGCCAGTCCCCCCTCCTAACTCCTCCCCTTCTCCGGAGGAAACTATTATAAGACAGTTACTAAGAATCTCAGGGAGACAAACTGTATGGTCAATGCTGGTTACCCAATATTTCCAGTTCTCCCCCTTCTAGGCACACGGTAGGATTACTCTTCTCAGCCCCCTTGTGATTGGGTAGGAACATGGGATTAGTTCTGTCCAGTGAGTTGTGAGTGGAAGTTCCCACCTATGTGCTGAGCATTTAACTGCAGATGCAAGATCCTCCAGAGTGTTCTTTTTCCTCTAGAAAGCAACCAGCAACATTCTAGAGGGTGGCTGCCATGCCAGTGGGGTCCCTGAGTGCCTATGACGAGCAGACCTGCAGCATGAGGCAAAAATAAATCTTGGCTGTTTTAAACCACTGAAATTTTGGATTGTTACAACAGCATAAACTAGTTTTCCTGACTGATGCAGAGACAATCGTATACTGAATAAAACTTTAGAAACCATTTAGTGCAATGTTTTCATTTCACAGAGATAAACTCAGTTTCAATGAAGGGAAGTGACAGCCCAAGGTCACCCAGTCAGTGAGTGTTGGGGCTGGAGTCACGACCCATGTCTCGTCTGTCTCAGTCCAGGGACCTAAGTGCTCTCACTCAAGACACAGAGAATATTTGCCACTAGGTGGGACCTGCCACACTAAATCATCTCAAGGCACATCAGCCGATTTGCCAACAAGAGACTCCATGATGCTGGAAAGAGCACAAGACTGAGAGTCAGAAACCAAGTCTTCCAGTTCTAGTCCTTCCACCGAACCTCCTTCATGACCTTGTATTCAAGTCTGTTAGTTTCAGTTGATGCTAACTCACTCTGGGACCAAAGGCAAGCCACATCACACTCCTGGGCTCCAGTTTCCCCAGGAGTAAAACGAGTCAGTTGATTTAGGCTTCAGAGATTTAAAACGTGTCCCCCACAGCAGACAGGAAGCTGCCCAGGAAAGAAGGGACAGGCCAGGCAGGCAGGCTCTGGTCCACCTCTCCTCCAACCAGAACAGCTTTGTTTTCCTCTGACTTATTCGTTTAGGCTTTGGTAAGATTTCCTATCACTGGACTTGATTTCTGAGGTCCCTGCCAGCTCTGAGATTGGTGATTCAAGTTCTCAGGTTTTGCCAAGTAGTTCCAGAGTTATAGCTCAGTGGCTGGGAGAAGAAGGCAGCCTGTTTTTAGGGAGTTCAAAAGTTTGGTTGAGGGGCCAGCCCGTGGCCAAGTGGTTAAGTTCATGCACTCCGCTTCGGCAGCTCAGGGTTTCGCCGGTTTGAATCCTGGGTGCGGACATGGCACCGCTCGTCAGGCCATGCTGAGGCAGCATCCCACTTGCCACAGCTAGAAGGACCCACAACTAAAAATACACAAACTATGTACCCAGGGACTTTCGGGAGAAAAAGGAAAAATAAAATCTTAAAAAAAAAAAAAAGTTTGGTTAAGAAGATCAAATTAAGATAGAGATTTTTTTGGCTGAGACTCTATACCAGGCTCTCTGGAATATACGTGAAAGAGAGGCATCAGGGACTGGTTCTAGATGGAGTGATGATGGGAAAGGATTGCTTGATGAAGCTATAGAATACATGAGGCCTGGGGAAAGAGTACTTGGGCTAAAGATTTTGTGTCACTATCTCCCCTCCTATAAAAAGGAGCTGGAAGGCCCATTACTTCAAAAACGGAATTTGAAGGTTAGTTCTCAGAAGTCAGAAGTGGCCCAGGATTCTTCCTGGTCATGACAGGGGCAACTTGCTATTGTGGATGAGATTGGGGGTTGGATTTGTATTTAAACAGACAATAATCACCTAAGGAGAAGTGGCCTTTGGTGTAGAGCCTGACATAATTCAGTGAGTGAAAGACGAAACGCAGCATGGAGTCCACAGGCCATCCATTTCTCTGAGACTTACCTTGGCCTCAGAAGTCCTTAGGAGCTTCATCACCTCCCCTTCTCGGGCGTAATCCAAGGGTGTGTGTCCCATTTCATTCCTCTGCAGGGGGTTGGCTCCTGGCACAAGGAGAGGAGAAGTAGTCAGAGGCTCTATGAGTCATCACTCGGGCCTCAACCTTCCCCTGGAGGTGCCTTGGGCCCTGATTTCAGTGAGAGGAATTCCCACAAAAATATGGAGGAAGGAAAACCTAAGAGTTTGTAGAACGGGAGGCAAAACATGCGAAGCTACTTTGAGAGGAGAGTTCTTAGTCCTCTTTGACACCGACAGGGTATTAGGGCTCCCACACAGACATGCACTCGTGTAGAAACACACTACCCACACGCTACCACACACACGTAGATGTGCTATATGCACAGAAATACACAAAGCTGAACATGCTAACAAATATACCAAACACATAGATTAATATACCCCAACACCAATGCATTAGTCATTAACAGGCCCAGGTTATCAAACTCATTTGTATAAAGATGAATATTCATTCATAAAAATCACATTAAAGAGTTCCTTTCTAAAGCACAGACTATCCCAAATAACAATGAAAAGACCTTCTTTCTGCTCTCTGCCCCTCTCTCTCCTTTAATGCTCTCTTACTTCTGGCATTTCTTGCCTGCCAGAGTCAGCTAAGTCCTCTGGAAGGGCAGGCCTCACCAAGCTGGCTGTGCTAGCCCCAAGGTTCCATGCCCTCCCCAGCACTAGCTGTTGCTGAGAGCGTGCACATGGGCAGGCATTTCCTTGAAGCATTAGTGCCTGTGATTTGAGGACAAAGAACGTTAAGCATGTCAAAAAGAAGGGGCCTTCTGGGGGTCATGCATCTACCTTCTCTCTTAAGTGCCAGCAGCTGATGAGCCTGCAGAAAGTGTCTACTTGGTGCAAAGGCTTGCCAGTTATGGAGGAAAGGCTACTCTGATTCCCAGGCTGTCAGAATCTCTTTCCCAAAGCCCAGGTCTCAGCACCTCACTCTTCTCTTCAAAAACTGTCCATTCCATTCAATTTGGCAAACCCTGACTGAGTGGGGCCTGGGGACACAGAAAAATCAGATCTAGCCCGGCCCCAAAGGCACTCCTCCTAAGGCAGGAAGACAGAAAGAAAGATAAGAAGAAAGCTGTGCCTTGAACACAGCAGATGATCAAGAACTATGTGTTAAATAGAACATTCCTTGATCTTCTCTCTTGCTAGGGAAGTGTTGCCTAGAAGTAAAGAAGGGTTAAGACTCAGTCCCTGCCATACGGATGCAGTGGACTGGCTGGGGTCACTAAATATGCAGGCAAGGCCGTGTCAGCACAGGGCTTGGCTCAGAGTGGGTGTCCAGCCACCATCTGCTGACGGACAGTAAAAAATCAGTGTTTCTCAATCCCAGGCTGTGGAAACATTTTTTTCATGATATAAAACTATTCCTACTGAAGCTCTCTGCTTCTTAAAGGCCTATAAGCTGTTAACAATAGTAAGCATTTATTAAGCATTTACATGTGGCTGTCTTCCTGGGCTGCAGAGGAAGAGGTGTGGGAGGAGGAGGGGGAAGGGGCCGAGGGCAGGAGGTATGATCCAGGCCAAGGAAACTTATTATCAATAAGAAAAAATTAACACTTTTATACATGATCCTATTTTCCAATAGGAATTTAGTATAAAATATTGATATATATAATTTTTTATTGATATAATTCACATACCATAAAAGTCAACCTTCTAAACTATACAATTCAGTGGTTTTAAATATACTTACAAGGTTGTACAATCATTACCACTATCCAATTCTAGACCATTTTCATCATCTTGAAAAGAAACCCCATAATCATTATCACAGACACGCCCAATCCCCCCAACACTGGCAACCGTTAGTCTACTTTCTGTCCCTACAGATTTGCCTATACTTGACATTTCACAGAAATGGAATCATATAATATGTGGCCTTTTGTGTCTGGCCTCTTTCACTTAGCATAATGTTTTTAAGATTCATCCATGTTGTAGCATGTGTCATTCATGCTACAACATGAAACATCCTACAACATGAAAACAGGAATGTAGCATGTACTTCATTCCTTTTCATGGCTGAATAACATGCCATCCTGTGGATATACCACATTTTGTTTATCCATTCATAAATTGATGGACATTTGGGTTGTTTCCTCGCTTTGGCTATTGTGAACAATGCTGCTATGTACATGTATGTACAAGTCTTTGTGTGGACGTGTGTTTTCAAGTCTCTTGGCTATATTATATACCTAGGAGGTAATCACAACTGCTGCTGGTATTTCCTGACTATGTAACGTGCCAGGCACTGTGCTCTGTACTTTATGTACATTCTATCACTTAATCCTTAAAAGCACCAGAGGGGTAGGAATTAGAATCCCCATGCTATAGACATGAAAACTGGGCTCAGAGAAGTGAAATAACTAGTCTAAGGTCACAAAGCTAGTTATTTGCTTGGACCAGGAGTCAAACCCATCCCCAGGCTTTCTCAACTCCAATTCTTCCCACTCCCACTGGGGCAGCCATGACATATTCCTGCTGAAAAATTCTTCAATGGCTTTTCACTGCTCACAAGATAAAGTGCATTGTCCGTAGTAAGGAGGGTGTCTGCTCTTCCTAACTGGCAGGCAAGTCCTCAGAGGCTCAGTTGGAGGCTCAATCTTTCTTTCAAGTCTATTGGCACTTACTGGGCACTTTCTATCTGTGGAGCCCTGTATGTAGGACAGTGGGGGTTTGGCAAAGTAAATGAATAATTTTCTTCTTTACGTTTCTTGACCACTCACTCTGTAGCAACTGATACCTTGGCCACTTTCTCCTTTGAGGCTTTTTTTTGAAATGTTCTTTTTCTTTCTTAAAGTATGCTTTTTGGTGAGGAAGACTGGCCCTGAGCTAACATCTGTTGCCAATCTTCCTCTTTTTTCCCTCCCCAAAGCCCCAGCACATAGTTGTAGATCCTAGTTGTAGGTCAGCCTAGTTCTTCTATGTGGGATGCCACCTCAGCATGGCTTGATGAGCAGTGTGTAGGTCTGCACCCAGGATCTGAACCTGTGAACCCCGGGTCACGTAAGCAGAGTGCATGAACTTAACCACTCAGCCATGCGGTGGCCCCTCCTTTGAGTTCCATAAAAGCACCTTTTCAGGTTTTCCTCACAGCCTTGTGACCATTCCTTCTCTGTCTCTTCTGCAGGCACCTCTTCCTGTCTTGAAGGTTAGGTGCTACCTAGAGTTCAAGTCCAGGCACAATTCCAGCTGTCCAGAAGCCAATGGGGATGAGAGATGACCAAACAACTACAACGCAGGCCGAGTATGATCAGCGTGCTGAAGGAGGGCGAGACAGACAGCACTGTGGGGGTTCAGGACGAATGAAGTGCACAGGGCTTGTTCACCTGGCCAGGTCTTCCCAGCCCTCCCCTGTTCTCTCTGGTGCTCAGCCCTGAAGGGCTCTGCAAGGTCTGAGGGCCAGTGGCAGACAGCATCCTCCCCCTAAAGCTCCCAGGCCACAGCGAGGGCTGAAAGGGAGCTACAGTTAAGCAGTGGAAAGGCTCTCCTTTCTTAGGCAGCCTCCAGGGGAGCTCTGTCACTAGATATGGGCTGGAGTGGAAGGGGGGTCAGGGAGAGACCTATGGAAAGGAAAGAGGAGCAAAAGGAAGAAGAGAAGAGAAACGGATAAGGAAGAGGGAGAGAAAGGGGAGAGAGAGGGGAGGGAGAGAGGAAGAGAAGGGGAGAGAGGAAGACAGTAGAAGAAAGAACAGAGGGGGTGAGATTAGCTGCTTCAAACAAGTGCTGTCAGTGATCTATATTTGCTTACAGAATGAAAAATGTGTGCCATAAACATTGGCCACTGAGTAATTTCTAGTAGGAGTCGGGTCACTTCTCATAAAGGATGGGATGGGGACAGGTAGGACATCTCTGCACCTGTGCCAGTCAGCACAGGGACGCCTTTTAAAGCACTGCTGGGCCAGGAAGCTCCCAGTCAGACCTCACTCCACCCACTCCTTAGGGGGGAAGCTGGCCGGGCTCCCCAAGGTTCTGGAGCCTCAGGGCAGCACGTTTGTGCCCACTTTAGGAAGGCTGAGGTGGGGGCACCATAGATAATGTCCATCTAATATTAGTCCCCTAGTCCCTACACCCTTGCTCTCTTGCTCTGACTTGACTAATTGCTGTAATAATTGATAGAACCTGACTTCTACAACTGATCGATTTCACCTCCACGACCAACGGCCACAAACCATTACACTCCAATAAATAACCACATTGGGCCTCACCCTCCTGCTCTCTCTGGGGGCATCAGGATGGCCCATGCCCTGGCCTGACCTCCCCTTGCCTCCCACCCAGGGCCCCTTCGGGCCGAGCAGCTGGTCTAGAGGGTCAGGCCTCTGGGAGCAAGTGAGAGGGCCGGACGGAGGTGGGAAGTGCTAATCGCAGGCCATCCGTCACCTCCCACTGCCTGTCTGGGGCTGGGGCCAACACCTGGAGCACCTCAGGCAGTATAGTGCAGGACCCTCCCCTCCTCTCTTTGCTTCAGATTAGTGTGTCCCAGCTTATAATATTTGATAAATAGCAGACTGGCTTCCTGGCAGCAATGCTGTGGCTGCGCCTGCCCGCTACAGCTGTGGAAGGTCACTCATTGGGGAAATATGTTTCTGTCAGTGGTATTGAAAAAAGTTTAGTGGAGTGACAGGCCTCAATTTTTCAAATTTTATTAACTCCATCCTCTTAACCATTTGTCTTGAATTCCTTCAGATTCTGGGGGATCTGTCAATAGGGCTCAGGCCAGGAAAATAGGGTGGAGGTGGGGGTTCATAGGCTGGTCCTGGTTGGTGCTGGTGGCTAGCCTGGGTCTCATCACCCAGGCAGGGTAAGGCATTGGAAATGGTGTTGGTGGGAGAGAAGGCCTGGTCCACTGGGCCCAGGGAGCCCACTGCTGTCTCTGGCACAGCGCCTGCCTTTGATCTGACACAGTCATAGACCTTCCGAGTGGAGAAAGACAGTAACAGTGAGCTCTTCCAGTTCCCTAAGAGACTCCCCTCTACTACATCTCAAACAGACGGTCACCCTGGCTCCCCTGAACGTGCTCAGAACCCAG